CGGCTGGGGCTCGGCTCTCCCCCCGGCGGCCGGGGGGGAGGGCGGCCAGAGCGCCGGGGGGAGGGCGGCGAGCCCTGCTGTGGCCCCGCTCTCCCCGGGGGCTGGAGCGCTGCGCCGCCACCCCCCTCCAGGTGCCGCCCCAAGCACCAGCTTGGGTGCCTGGAGCCGGCCCTGGGCACAATGCAAGGAGGTGCAACCGTAATGATTGTATGAATTGCTCACAGGCAGGCGTGGGAAACAATCACCGTTTTATCTAATTCGATAGAGGGCTCGGATCAGCACTTGCCGCTGTGTCTTTCCAACTCCGCGATGCCTTCGAAGGAAGCCGGGGGCAGGATGAAGTGAAGGGAAAATCTTAGATAAGGGTGCAGTAGGAATCTTCGTCTAGAGAAACACAAAGTCTCCAGTTACCGTCGGGACTACATTGGTGACCACAAAGAAGATGCTGCGTGAAAACTTTCGAATGGAAACAAACCGTTTTCAGTTCCTACCAGATGGTTCCCCTGTCCTACGATGGGCCAAACGTATTTGCAATGCAGTTTTTTACATTCAGTTTGTTTCATTGAAAAAGCTTTCATTTCAGTTAAAATAATGGGGGTCTGAGCAGCGCCTGTGTGACGTTATTGACATAGACTGGGACCATATAGATCATTGTTGCAACCAAGGTCCTGTAGTGGCACCCAAATCTTGTATAAAGGGGGTCAAATGGGGTGTCTAAGACAAGGTTATGGTTTACTGGTTAGGATTATGCTGTCTATATGTGTGTATCAGTTTTGTAGCTGAAGTTATGAATATTGGCTCTATACTGTCTGTATGGCAAACTTATGCTATGCTTCTGGGTGACATCCCAGACAAGCTGGGATTAGCTCTGCCTAGCCTGCTTGATGGCCCATTAAGGACCGTCAGCTATACAATGAACCCATTGAGAGAAGGCCAATATGCCTTCAGACTCAGCAAAGTATGCAGGGACTGGCCCATGTGACTCCAGACTCCATTTTGCTGTAATTTTCCACAGTAAGAACAAAGAGGTGTTCTTACACCTGGAAAAGACTATATAAGGCTGATGCCTCATCTCCATTGGGTCTTCAATCCTGCTTCATACCTCTGGAGGAACTTTGCTACAAGCTGAAGCTTTGAACAAAGGACTGAGGACCCATCCCAGCGGGGGATGTACTCCAGAGACTTGATTTGAACCTGCAGTTTATTCTATCGCTGCTGCAAGCCTGAACCAAGAACTTGGCCATTACTGTATGTAATTGATTCCACTTAACCAATTCTAACTCTCATCTCTATCTTTTTCCTTTTATGAATAAACCTTTAGATTTTAGATTCTAAAGGATTGGCAACAGCGTGATTTGTGGGTAAGATCTGATTTGTATATTGACCTGGGTCTGGGGCTTGGTCCTTTGGGATCAGGAGAACCTTTTTCTTTTACTGGGGTATTGGTTTTCCTAACCATTTGTCCCCATAACGAGTGGCCCTGGTGGTAATACTGGGAAACTGGAGTGTCTAAGGAGATTGCTTGTGAGACTTGCGGTTAGCCAGTGGGGTGAGACCGAAGTCCTCCTAGTCTGGCTGGTTTGGTTTGCCTTAGAGGTGGAAAAACCCCCCAGCCTTGGGCTGTAACTGCCCTGTTTGAGCAATTTGTCCTGAGTTGGCGCTCTCAGTTGGGTTCCGCCAGAACCGCATCGTCACAGCCTGGCATGATGAGGGGCCCTGATCTCGGTCGGGGTCTGGGCAGCGCCCAGCACAATGGGGGGCCCTGATCTCAGTCTGTCTGTCCGAGACTTTTCGAATGTGAGTGAGGGGCTGCTGACCACCCTCAGCAGGGGCTGTGTGGAGGAGGCAGTGGTGGAGAAGGACACTCGCTAATGATTTTAAAGAGGTATCATTGAATTTCATTTGTCATTTTTATCACAGATCACGGAGCGTCCTGGTGAGTTTAATACAAGTCACGGGGCTCGAGGCAAATAGCAGATGGTGGCTTCACACCCGGGACATTTATTCTTAGAAGCCCCGGCCAGATGGGACCCTTGTGACCTTCTAGTCTGACCTCCTGCACCACATGGGCCGGAGAAGGCCCCAAAACAATTCCTAGAGCCGATCGGTTAGAAAAACATCCCAGCCGGATTGAAAAATGGCCAGTGATGGAGACTCCACCGTGCCCCTCAGGAAACTGCCCCAATGACTCTCGCCGTTAGAAACTGACCCCTTATTCCCAGGCTGAATTTGTCTGGCTTCAACTTCCAGCCATTGGATCAGGCTCGACCTCCCAGTGCTGGACTGACGGGCCCCTTATTGAATATTTGTTCCCCGCCTCGGTCCTTCTAGCCTGGGATCGAGTCAGCCTTGAAACCTTCTCTGTGTCTAACCCTTGAATCAGCCCCTTGGCTCTTCTCGGACCCCCTCCCCGATTGGTCCAGCTCCTTTGGCTTCTACTGCGTTTACCGCGGCTGCTCTGCGATTTGTGGTTTGAAAAAACGCCGGGGCACGTCGGCAGCCCCAGTGATAACCTTCCCGCCAGTGAGTGGCTCCGAGATCTGCTGGGCGTTGCTGGCCAAACGCAGGGTGAACTCAGGGGCGGGATCACTTAGGCCTTGGCTACACTTGCGAGTTACAGTGCAATAAAGCTGCCCCGGGCGCTCCCCGTGCACACTGACAAGGGATGTCGAGCGCTCTGACTCTGCGGCTACAGCGCTGCTGGTATCCACCTTGGCGAGTGGAGTAATGTTTGCTGCACTCCCGCTGGAGCGCCGCGGGGCCAGTGAATGAGGTGTTGCATTACTGCGCTGTGATCAGCCTCCGGAAACATTCTATAATCCCCTTAAGTCAAGTGGCCGCTCTGGTCATGGTTGTGAAATCAGCTGCAGGAATGCGGAAATGCCCTTTCAAAGCTCCGTTTCGGAGAAGTCGGCTGCTTATCAGCTCCGAGAAAAGCAAACATTTACTGTTTGCTTTGAGTGAGTGAGAGAGAGGCGG